TTTTTGCATTTCTTTTTCTTGGGGATGGTCTTGCTTCCTGTCTCCTGTACAATGTCACGAACCTCCATCCATAGTTCATCAGGCACTCTGTCTATCTAATCTAGTCCCTTAAATCTATTTTTCACTTCCACTGTATAATCGTTGGGGATTTGATTTAGGTCATACCTGAATGGCCTAGTGGTTTTCCCTACTTTCTTCAATTTAAGTCTGAATTTGGCAATAAGTTCCTGATCTGAGCCACAGTCAGCTCCTGGTCTTATTTTTGCTGACTGTACAGAGCTTCTCCATCTTTAGCTGCAAAGAATATAATCAATCTGATTTCAGTGTTGACCATGTGGTGATGTCCATGTGTAGAGTCTTCTCTTGTGTTGTTGCAAGAGGGTGTTTGCTATGACCAGTACATTCCCTTGGCAAGACTCTATTAGCCTTTGCCCTGCTTCATTCTGTACTCCAAGGCCAAATTTGCCTGTTACTCCGGGAGATGATTCTGAAGGAGATAGAATAATATTGATATGATGAAGCCTCATGGACCCGTTGCCCAGATTGCACTGCTGGCAGCGTTCTGCAGACATGGCAGAGTCGCACATGACTGAGACACCAAGTCTGTGCTGACACTGAGGTCCGCGGAGGTGTGCAGAGGGCTCTCAGAGAAGGGGATGGGGCTGGGGGCAGTCGTCCCGGACCCGGACAGGGGAGACCACGAGAGCCAGTGCCAGACGCTCGGCAGGGATGCGGGCCGGTCACTGCTCGGGAATCAGAGGAAACCTAGGTGGGAAGGGGCGCGGGGCCTCTGGCCGTGTCTGAGCCCTGTGTCTGCCCTGCTCCCAGCCGCCCCTGACCTGGTGCTCAACGCGGAGATTGTGCAGCAGAGCACCTACCTGGAGGACCGGCCCATGTTCATGCTGCAGTGCGCCATGGAGGAGAACTGCCTCTCGGCCTCGGCCGCCCAGACCAACCCCACCACGGGCTACCGGCGGCTCCTGCGCTTCTCCTCCCAGATCCACAACAACGGCCAGTCCGACTTCCGACCCAAGAACGGGCGCCACGCCTGGATCTGGCATGACTGCCACAGGTGAGCCGTCCCTCCCTGTCCCAGCCCGGCAACCCTTGGGGCTCCAGATGGGACCCAGACTCACAGGGCCACTTAGACACAGCCGAGCGGCCACATGGTCCTGGGGGCAGGGCTCCCCCTGGCTGGAGGGCTCCTTTACATTTGCAGACAGCGTTCTCCCCTCCCAGAGGCCCTGGCCCACCTCACCTCTCCAAGCCTGCTCTCTTGCCCCTGACACCTCGAGCATTCAGAAACAAACTTCATTTTGGGAACCAGTGCCCCGCCATTGACCTTCAGTCGATGGTTTCAGGTGTGTTCTCGGCACATTTGTGCTCTGCAGGGAGCTTGGGGTGCTGCAGGTGTTGGGTGCTGAGTTCATGTAGAAATATATTTTCTTCTAGTCTATTCTACTTTATTTTTGGCTGTACTGGGTCTGCGTTGTGCCCAGGCTTCTCTAGTGGTGGCAAGCTGTCTCTCTGCTTGTGGCATGTGGGTATATACCAGTATGCTATACGTGTTGAACATCTCTAGGAAGATGGTGAGTGTGGAGACACAAGTTCTTGGCCCAGGAGTCATGAGACCTGGTCTTTAGACCCAGCCATGCCTCTAACTAGCTGCATGGTGTCAAGCCGTCTGGGCCGCATGAGCCGGGGCCTCCACTGTGCCTTCCCGCCCTCAGTCTGTGGCTCTGTCCCCAGTGCCGTATAAATCCCTGCACCAGAGCAGAGCACAGCCCCAGACCAGCCCACGCTGGAGCCAGCAGAAACCTTGCCGCTCATCCCCCTGTGCTCGCCAGCCTCCTCCTTTTTGTTCCTTTGCTTGATTCCCACCCTAACCCAGAACCCTCAGTCTGCTGCTGCTGGCTCTCATTTTCCTGCTCAGACCTGAGCTGGGCGGGTAGAGGGAACAGAGTGAGCAGTTTGGGAAACGAAGAGAGGGAGGCCCCTGCCATTTAAGACGGCAGCCACCTCCCCACCCCTCCCCCGAGCGACCACAGACTTGGGCGTGGTGGGAGTACAGGGTGTCCGTGCTCAGAATCCCATCCCTACAAGAGTTTTGCACCACATCTCCTAGAGGGCTGGCAGCATCTGCAGTCAGTGCCAAATCCAGGGCCCGTGGGAGATTGACAATTGTGTAAGAATCTGCGTGTTAACAGGTCCCCAAGGGATTGTGTGCCATCAGCCTGAGAGGCCCCAGTCTAGCTGACCTCTAGGTGTCCTTCCAGCTCTGAAGCGTGATGATCACTGTTAGGGACACAGGAGCTGAAGTTGGTAGAAAAAGGTACCAGGCAGGGTACACTCCTTCTTCTGAATCAGGAAGCCGAGGCTCTGCATTCGCATGACTTGTCCAGGATGAGGTTGGGGAACAGGGGCGCTGACTGGGGCCGCCTGACCCCCAGCATGTGCCCTTCCTGGTACCTCCCGCGGTCTTCAGAAGGGCTTCCCCCATGGCTCAGACAGTGAAAAAAATCTGCCTGTGATGCAGGAGACCTGGGTTCCATTCCTGGGTCGGGAAGGTCCCCTGGAGACGGGAATGGCAACCTACTCCAGTATCCTTGTCTGGAGAGTCCCATGCACAGAGAAGCCTGATGGGCTACAGCCCATGGGATCACAAAGAGTTGGACACGACTGAGAGACTCAACCTTTTCTGTCTTTCCCCTAGTCTTCATCACAAATCTGTTGGGCTGCTTTTCCATGTCATAATTTATGGCCTAGTCACATTTGAAACTGTTTAGGGAAAGAGTTGTTCAATCCATTTCAAAAGAAAGGACAACTTGAACTTCCCTGGTAGCCCAGTGGTGAAGACTTCACCTTCCAATGCAGGGGGTTGCAGGTTCAATCCCCGGTCAGTGGAGCTAAGACCCTACATGCTTCATGGCCAGAAAACCAAAACATAAAATGGAAGCATTATTGTAACAGATTTAATAATCTGGTCAAAAATGGTCCATATCAAAAAAAAAAAAAAGAAAGGACTATGATACAACTCAGGGGTGCTAATATTCCTTTATGTAGTTGACCCTTGAACAACACAGATTTGAAATGCATGGGTCCATTTATACATGGATTTTTTTTTTCCAGTTAACATAGTACCTCTACATATTTTCATCTTATAGCTTTTAAATTAACTCAGTGTGGGGAAAAGTTTGTGTTCGATTAGAGATCACAATACGTGGAATCAGAAGAATTAGGGCTGCTTGTGTCCCGATTCTATCCAGGCAGTTTCAGTTTCCTGCCCTCGGGTGAGTCATTTCTGAGCTCTTTTGTTTCTGAGGCTGAGATAGCAGTTCTTGGATTTTCAACTGCGTGGAGGTCAGTGCCCCTAACCTCTGTGTTGTTCAAAGGTCAACTGCAATTACTTTTGGTATGTCCTGAAAGTCCTCATTAGCCAAAGAAGTTTGGGTCTTTATATAGAAGCATGAAGTCTTCTGCAGGGAGGGAGTCAGAGAGTAAAATTAAAGCCCTGACATATGGGTGCCTGATTTCCTTCCGAGAATACATGGCGGAAGCACTGCCCTTTGGGTCTATAAGTAGAAGGTAATTGTGTCTCTGCTGCATATATGCTGCTCCACCCAGACATCACACGGTAGGGCTCTCCCTGTGACATAGGCTTGCTCTCCAAGGAATGGTTTCTTCTCTAAGAATACACATGGTGACCTCATGGAAGTGTTTCTTCTGATCTGGAGCTCCAAGCTACCCTGACCTCCCTGCCCCAAACCCTGCTTTTCCTGAGTTCTATTTCCTTTCTTTGTTTACAGATGTTGCAATCAATGGTTTGGAAGGAATGGGTGGGAAAGATCATACTGGCTAAGCATATGTCCCTTCAGCCTCGCCCTCCTGGACTGTGGCTGAGAACCTCTGACCACAAGACCCCAGGGAGTGTAAGAAATTCCCCACTGCTGGCCTCCAGAGCTGCGGGGGGGCTTCTCCAGGCCCTGTGGGAGGGCCTTCAACAGGACTCCTGGCCCTGAACCTCTCTGTTGAGTCCCTTTGGGAGCATGATGAGAGCTGACCCACCCTCCACTCAAAAAAATTATTTCTGGATTTTACACCCAGTTTCAGCAGATTTACAGATGCTGAAGCCCATCTGTGAAGTCAAAGTTGAGAACTCTGGCCCAAGTTAGCCTGAATCTGCAAAGTGGTCACTCCCAATTTAGCTGATGCTATGATGAAGAACAGAGGTGTAGTCTTTGAAAGTGCTAAGATGCAACACCACGGGGGCTTCCAGGTGGCAAAGCGGTAAAGAACCCGCCTGCCAGTGCAGGAAATGCAGGAGATGTGGGCTTAATCCCTGGGTCAGGAAGATCCCCTGGAGAAGGAAATGGCAACCCACTCCAGTGTTCTTGCCTGGAGATCCCATGGACGGAGGAGCCTGTCGGGCTGCAGTTCATAGGGTCACAGAGAGTTGGACACGCAGCCACTCAGCACGCGCGCACAAGGTGAAGCGAGGAGGCTGAACCCTCTGAGCCTCCTCACGCGCCAGCCTAAAGGGCGATGCCCCGAGCCATTCTCTCCCATCAACATGGGCCTCGACTGATGATCCTGATGGGGGTCCCCTGCCTGCTTCTTGCGCCCCGGGTAGCGGGCCACACCGCTCACCTGGCACATGATGTCACAGGGCAGCCTTGCTGCTCCTGGTTCTCCCCGCTGTGTCCCAGGGTGCAGCATCCTGCCTTGCCCCCTACCTCAGGCAAGCCCTGGAGGGGAGCTGGGAGCTGGAGATGCAGGGAGATGGATAGCCAACGCAGGTGCCAGCCCCTCTGATCAGGGGTGGCCCGGCTACAAAAGGCGGGACTTTCGTTCATTCTGCCCCGCCCTAACCATGTGCAGAGCAGCCCGTGTTTTGGGTCAAAGCCTTGCAGATTCAGTGCGGCCTCGGTGAGCCAAATCGAGGCCTTCGTCCTGTCCAGGGGGCTTTGTTCCACCCGAGGACTGCCTCGTAGGTGGGGAAAGGCAAGGCTGAGCGGGCAGAAGGGCTCCTGCCCTTTGTGGAAGCACCTCCTGAGGTTGGAACAGCCCCCATGTCCTCTGAAATGGGAATGGGAGCATCTTCCAATCCTCAACTGAGTGCCAGCCAGTACTGCCCATCCTGGAGGCACTGGGGACACATGAGAAAGGAAGTGTCTGGGAAAGGAAGAAGAGTGAAGCATCTCTATAATATGCACTGACGCTCAGATGGAAAGTCTTATTGGGCCCGAGATGACCTAAGGTAACGAAGAATGTACCCAAACCTCCCTTCTTGTTCTGGACTAGCTTTGTCTGTCATCCACGTGTTCACCCAGAGCCCTGTGCCTCGGCCGCTGCCATGGCCTAGTGTGCCTCGCTCTCTAGACTCACAGTGAAGATCACCCTTCCTCTCCTCCAAGTTCCAGTGACCTCCCCTGGCCTCCAGTGACCCAGCATCTGGTGTTCTCTCCTGCCTAGACTGCCTGAATCTCTCTGCAGACCAGCGTTTCCCTGTCTTTATCCCATGGATCAGGCTACCTCTTAGACCTCTGAAGATCAGGACGCTCAGCCTGAAATGAGGAAATGTCCCTGGATCACCAGATGCTTCCTCCCTCCTTCCCAGCAGCCTTGATCTGAGTCTCCTGGGGTGTGAGTGTGGGTGGTGAAGGGTGGGTGCCCCTGGGCTCTCCAACTAGCCCGCTGGGACAGAGAGGTGGCCCTGGAGGTGATGCCCACACACGCCCCCGCAGTAAAGCACAGAGGCTTCCGGACCACAGCTAGCTAGCATCATGAATCTCCAGCCAGCTGCTTCCCTCCCCGTGTCCACAGGGGAAAAAATGAAGAGCCGGGGAAGACTCTTAAATCAAGTCTGCAGAAAGCAGGGGCAGCAGGAGAAGGTCAGCCTTACAAGAGTCTGTCTGTGGGCTCCGTCTGCATGTTGTTTAGACAGCGGAACATAAACCTATTCCTCTTCAGTCTTTCCAGCCAGTAAACATAGCAACATAAACCCCTCTCTGAAAGAGGCAGACATGTTTTAGGCAGTGAGTCAGACCTCGTGTCTCATCTTGCTCCTTCAAGAAGCCAAAATAGACTCTTTCAAAATCAGTCCTTCAACTGCCACAGAATGCATCCTTGTGACTGTTCCCCATGGGCCCCTGGCTCAGCATCCTTTTACCCAGGAACCCAAGGGACCTGGGAAAAGCCCAAGTTAGGAACTTCTGACATTATTTATAGCACCAGCCCAATGCAGGAAGAAGGGGAAAGAGCCTCTCATTTCCTCTCTGAAAAGTTATCCTTTTAATTTTCCTCTTCTCTCTGTCCTCTTCTGTTCCCATCCAGCCGAGAGAGCCTGAAGGCAAACACCTAAGGCTGGGGGTCAGGGCGGGGGGGTGGCGTGGCAAGGAAGTTGCTGTCGGCCAGGAAATAATCGCAGCGATGGGTCCCCTGGAGAAGGGAATGGCAGCCCTCTCCAGTATTCTGGCCTGGAGAATCCCATGGACAGAGCCCTGGCAGGCTACAGTCCATAGGGTCACAAAGAATCAGTCACTCAGTCGTGTCAATGGTACACACAATCATAGCAATGGTAGCGGTGTTGGTAGTAATAAAACTCGACACCGTCACTCCTGGGAGTAGTAGTGCTGAGGTACCGGGGGTAGGTACTGAGTGTTCCTCCGTCTCGAGCCCCGTGTTAGGCATTTCTGTGACTTTCCTAATCCATGGTTGTTTTTTTTTTTTTCCCATTAATAGTTTACTTTTATTTATTTTTTAAAAATCTTTATTGAATTTGTTACCATATTGCTTCTGTTTTACATTTTGGTTTTTTGGCCACAAGGCCTGCAGGATCTTAGCTTCCTGCCCAGGGGTTGAACCTGCACCCCCGCATTGGAAGGCAGAGTCTTAGCCTCTGGACCCAACCAGGGAAGCCCGTCTCCTAGTTCATCTTTACAGAACCCCTGACAGGGGGTCATGCTATCATTCCCTCTTTCCTGCGGAGGGAACTCAGGTCACAGGCAAACAAAACACGTGATTCTGTTTCCCAAGCCTTGGTACCTTGTTACCTTCCCCCGTTTCCCAAATGTTCCTGGAATGACAGACAAGCGAGCGCGAATACTTGCAGCCACTTGTGATAAGATGTGTAGCAGCTGAGGATGGGCTTGGCAGCCAGCCCCTCAGGAAGGCCCCACGGAAGCCATGTTTCCCATGTTAAATGCAGGCCTTTCCCAGAACCTGCATCTGTTCTAAGTTCTTCCCAAGTGACGAGATGGGCCCCCGTTAGGTAAACGGTCATCTGGGGCAAGACCCATGGGAGTGCGCAATCTCTCTTCCCTCTCTGTTCCCTTCTACAGGACGTGCTGGTCACCCCTCCCTCCCACAGGGTCTCAAAGCCCCTTTTCCCCCTCTTTTTTAAAAAAATTTTCTTGATCCCAGGAGCACAGGTTTCTGCCTCTATCACCTAGTCTGGGACACGTGTGTGCCCTGCTCATCAGCGCCTGCTCTTCCCACCCCTCCTTCCGCTCTTCATTCTGTCTCCCTCCTGACCATAGTCCCACTTTAAATGTTTCCTAAAGACATCGAAGAGTGACTTGCATTCATCTGCAGAAAGTGCCTAAGTAGGAATGAGCTGTGACAGCCACTTTAGGGCTCTGGAGGGTGCTACATCCTTTTACTTAATATATCCTAATTTATTCAGCTTATTGATGCTGAGCCCCCTGTTCATCAGTTTATCTGATTAATTCCCATAGCACCCTGTGCATTGCATTATTATTCCCATTGAGCAGATGAAAAAACTGAGGCTTGGGAAGGTAGCGGGTTGTCCCCCTCCAGAGCCCATGGAAGCGCCACGATTCCTGGCTTCTGTCCCACCCCCCATCTCATAATGCCCTGTCCACTGCCCACTTTTCTCCCTCCACCACCGCTTTGGACCACGCTGCTCTGCTCGAGATGTCCCCGGAGGGGAATGGCCAGCTGGGCCATCGCTTGCAGGTGGCACTCCCTCCGGAAACTGACATCCAGGCCCCCCTCTCACCTGCAGGCATTACCACAGCATGGAGGTGTTCACCCACTACGACCTGCTGAACCTCAATGGCACCAAGGTGGCAGAGGGCCACAAAGCTAGCTTCTGCTTGGAGGACACAGAGTGTGAAGGAGGTATTCGGGCGACAGGGCGGGCTGGGGAGACTCCAAGGGACTCAGATGCTCCCACCTGTGCTCATTTGGCCAGGATCCCAGGCCTGGCTCGGGACTCTGTCACCCTGGCCCCTGCTGACCCGCCCAGGACCTTCCTCACTGGAGACCTCATGACTACCATCTGGGGCTGGAGGGGTGGGGCGGGCAAGGCCTGGCTATGAAGGCACCTGGGTCCCCAGAGTCATGCTGATGGGCACTGGTGGATCCAGTGAGTCCACAGGTGGGTCTCCCTGGTGAGGCTCAGACCCTTGAACCTGACACGCGGTCCCCTTCTGCTCTGGCTGCCACACTTTCTCTCTGTGTCCAACATAGACACACAAGCCCTCAGGTTCTTACCTTCCAGTTCAAGCTGAAAGCCCCACTTTGAGGTTCCCAGACTCTCTTGACTGCCTTAGGCAGAGACAGCATCGCACCCACGCCCCCGGTTGCTTCCATACCTGCATGATGACCACTGCGGGCGCACCTGCCATCCTGGCCTGACCAAGCTCTCTTAAGAGGAGACATGCGACTCTCCTCAGGGCAGCTGGGGCTTAGAGTAGCGCCCAGACTCGGCAGGCTCTGGCAAATGGGTGCTGGTTGTCGGTGGTTGACGTGGCCCCTGGCATGTCATGAAATCACCCAGCAGATGGGTTTCGAGCACCTACTATGTGCCACACAATGGGCTGACCCAGGATGGGTCAGAGACATGGGTCAGACCGAGACCACATCCAAGAGCGGATGCCCTCGGGGAGACCAGATGACCCCACATCAGGCTCCACAATATACACCATAATTTACCCAGAATAGCACACGCTTCATTCCCAGGCTGATATTCCTCAGAATGGCCAGGGTGGGCCAGAGTGGCCCAGAAAGGCTTCATGGAGGAGGACGCAGTGGAATGTGGATGGGGAATTGAGGGAGGATTCTACCAAAAGCAGAGCAGAGCGGGGATGAGCTGAGCCCAGAGACAGCCAAGGCTGTGGGCCTGGAGAAGGGAGAGATGCTGAAGGTGGGATCTGGGGATGCCTCCCACTTAGCAGGCTGCTCGGGGGCCTTTGTGGGGAGGGCAGCGGAGGGGCCACGGGTGCCTGGTGACTGGGCTTCCCTCTGTCCCCACATGCAGACATCCAGAAGAGTTACGAGTGCGCCAACTTTGGTGAGCAGGGCATCACCATGGGCTGCTGGGACATGTACCGTCATGACATCGATTGCCAGTGGGTTGACATTACCGACGTGCCTCCTGGAGACTACCTGTTCCAGGTGAGGCACTTAAGGGGCTCCAGGCCCCCCTGCTGATGGGAGGAGGGGTCTCTGCCTGAGCAAATGGGTAGGCAGCCTCCTTCGGATGGTGCCCAGGCAGAAAATACAGGCATGGAGGCTGGGCTGTGCAAAGGGCAGGCTCCTGCACCTGGTGCTTGCGAATCAAAGGGCGTCTGCAGGCCAGATTTGGTCCTCGGGCTGGGAGTCTGTGCAGACTCTAAGGCAGCCTACACTTCTTGTGTCTTTGGAGCTGTACTTGCACCTCCACCCTGATTTCTCCCAGCGCCCTCCCTCAGGCTGTCTTGGCCGGTGCTGTCAGGGCTAAAAGCAATCACACAAAGAGCCATTCACTCACAAATGTCTGTGACTTGCCTCTCCCAGAAATGTTTGCCTCATAGCAGCGGATCTGCAGAGGGGACAATTTCAGTGCAAAGAAATAAACCTATAATGGTAAATTGTTAGGTACTAGAGACAGCCTGTCCAGTGACTATTTGTGCGGCGACTTCCCAGGGCTTCTACATACTTTGTCCAGGGGAAGCGCCACCCTGAGACAGGAGCTAAGACGCACTGGCCTCCCACCTTCCTGCCTCCCACCTTCCTGCAAATAGCTGCCGGCCCCAGCCAGGGCCCAGACTGGTGGGGGACCCAGGGTCACCATATCCCCAACATCTCCCATGCAGGTACACAGGCGCACTCCTGCCCGCGGAGACTTCGTTTCACCTTATTTTTCCCACATCCCCACCCACCTTGCTTTCAAGCTTGATTCTTGGGTGACCAGAAATGTGTCATTTTGTCTTGAAAGCTTTCCGAGGAGGGCATTCAGCCAGCCCCGGGCCTGGCCACAGTCCCCACCTTATAGACAGTCCAGGGAGGAACCGACACCTGCAGGGAATGACCACAGAGGGGCTCTGAAAGTTTCCCTGGTCAGTTTCAGAGACTGGTGATCAGACAGCCAAGCACTTTTCCACCCACAAGCCCAGAACCGCAGACTTGGAGAGGCCCAAGCGAAGAGCAGAGTGCTCTTTATTTAAAGAATCGAATACCCATGTCTCTGTACACGACTCCAGTTTATGTTTGAGGTCTGCTACCCCTTTGCAAGGGGAACGTGTAGCGTCATGTATTTTGATAATGTCTGTTTAATAACTGACTCATTAAAGGGCTTCCCAGACGGCCCAGTGGTAAAGAATCTGCCTACCAATGCAAGCGATGCAAGAGATGTGGGTTTGATTCCTGGGTTGGGAAGATCCCCTGGAGTAGGAAATGGCAACCTACTCCCGTATTCTTGCCTGGAAAGATTCCATAGACAAGAGGAGCCTGGTGGACCACAGTCCAGGAGGTCACAAAGAGACAGACACGACTGAGCACGCACGTACTTGTACACTGAAGATCAGTTGTGGACCAGGCCCTGCCCACACCCTGTGAACCCAGCATCTCATGTAATCCTCAGGGATGGGCATTATCATTACCCGCACTTCACAGCCAGCAAGGCCAGGTCATCTTCCCCTGGGCTGGACGTGGAGCTTTAGACTTGGAGAGTCCTGGCCTGGGGGTACTGGCCCTCTCCATTCCCGTGTGGACCCAGCAGCAGACCCCAGCAGTGCTGCAGAAGCGGGAGAAAGCTGGGTTGGGGAGGGGGTGGCGTTCCAGCCCAGGAGGCCAGCGCACAGAGGCTCAGAGGCAGGGTTCCCAGAGTGATTAGATCCCTAATTCCCACCATTGCCTGGATCCACAGCAGATCTTTTTTGTTTTTCAACACAAAGCTGCCACTGCCTTTTTATTTTGTTTGTGTTTTTTTTTAAGTTTTTAAAAATTGAGGTATAATTGATTTACAGTATTAGTTTCAGGTGTCCAATATAGCAATTCAAAATGTTTCTAGATTATACCCCACTTATGGTTATTAGAGAAGTGCAGTGTATCCTTATAGTTTATTTCATACATAGCAGTTTGTACCCCTATCTTGCCTCTCCCCATTTCCCTCTCCCCACTGGTGACCACTAGCTTATTCTCTGTATCTGTGAGTCTGCTTCTTTTTTGTTACATTCACTGGTTTGTTGTGTTTTTTAGATTGCATATATACGTAATAATATGCAGTATTTTTCTCTCTCTGACTTATTCCACTAAGCATAATACCCTCAAGTCCATCCACGTTATTGCAAATGGCAAAGTTTCATTTTTTTTCTGGCTGAGTATTCCATTGTGTGTATACATACATATACGTCACATCTTTACCCATTCATCTGTTGATGGACTCTTAGGTTGCTTCCACATGTTGGCTGTTGTAAACCACAGCAGATCTCCTGTCTAAGGAACTAAAGCCACTGCCCACAGATCCCCAAGAGACTGAGGACCCTCCATATGAGTCTGATGGAATTGTGGAGACTATTCATTTCAGCTCTCACCGTTGCACCCGAGTGGGTCGCGTGGGTCCTCATAAGGTCCCCACTGCCCTCACGGTCACCCTGCAGGGACCCATGCTGGGGGCGTGACTATCTGTGAGCAAAGGGCTGCCTGGGTTTTGGTGCAGGGGGTTTGTCTGTCCTGGGCTATGAGCCACGCATGGGCTGGGACTTGGCACAATTAAGGTTGTCAGGCAGAAAACACATCAAAGTAAGGCCACCCCAGAGCAGGACATTTTCCAGCCTTACCTAGAGAGACAGAGTCACCATGGGACATAACCTAGAGCCCCCAGAATGGGCTGCACCAGCTAGGACTCAAGGCTGGAGACCCCCCACTGACCTGTTTCCCACAGCAGCTCTGGCAGGCCCAGCCATCTTGCTAAAGGGCCACTGTTGTTACTGTTTAGCCACTAAGTCATGTCCAACTCTTTGTGACTCCATGGACTGCAGCACACCAGGATTCCCTGTCCTTCACTATNTCCCAGTTGCTTTTGTTGTTCAGTTGCCAAGTCGTGACCAACTGTTTGCGACCCAACGAACGGTAGCACGCCAGGCCTCCCAGTCCCTCACTATCTCCTAGAGTTTGCCCAAGTTCATGTCCGTTGATTCGGTGATTCCATCCAAACATCTCATCCTCTGTCATCCCCTTCCCCTCCCACCTTCAGGGTCTTTTCTAATGAGTTAGCCCTTTGAGTCAGGTGGCCAAAGTATTGGAGCTTCAACTTCAGCATCAGTCCTTCCAATGAATATTCAGGGTTGATCTCCTTTAGGGCTAACTGGTTTGATCTCCTTTAGGACTGAGGGACTGATCTCCTTTAGGACTGATTGGTTAATCTCCTTTAGAACTGACCAATCCCAGAAGCCCCCTCAAAAGAATGGTCCCTCCTGCTCCTGCTCCTCTGGATGCCGCCCTCTTACCTGGGATGACTCAGAGGAAGGGGGTACAAAGGGGAAACCTGCCCTGGTGAGCAGAAAGGGCTTGGGGACCCCCTAGAGCAAACCCGGACCCAGAGAACGGAAGGGTTGTGTCTAATGTCACGCGTCCAGGAGCAGTGTCATCTCCAGTGCCCAGGGCAGCCCCCCTCGGACTCCCCACAGCACCCAGTCCTGGTCCCCATGCCCTCCCAGCAAGTCCTGCTCTCCGGCTCTCTTCTGACTCTTTCAGCAGCTGTTTTGTGGCCTCCCCAGGCTTCAGCTCCTGCTTCTCTACTAACCTCAAACCTCTCTGGCACCCCAAGAGGGTAACCCCATTTTGAAGGCACGCCCGGGTTGGGAAAATCCCCGGGAAAAGGGAATGGCTCCCTACTCTAGTATTTTTGCCTGGAGAATCCCGTGGACAGAGGAGCTTGATGGGCTACAGTCCATGGGGTCACGAAGAGTCGGACATGACTGAGTGATTAACAATCTTTTTAAAAAAGGGGGATGTGCTGTGCTGTGGTTAGTTGCTCAGTCGTGTCTGACTCTTTGTGACCCCATGGACTGTAGCCCACCAGACTCCTGTGGCCACGGGGATTCTCTAGGCAAGAATACTAGAGTGGGTTGTCATGCCCTCCTCTTACTAGAGTATAGCTGATTAACAAACAGTGTTGATAGTTTCAGCTGAACAGCAAAGGGACTCAACCAAACATATACATGTATCCATTCACCCCCACACCCCCCTCCCAGCCAGGCTGCCATGTACCATTGAGCAGAGTTTCCTGTGCTGGACAGTAGGTCCTTGCTAGTGATCCATTTTAAGTACGTACATGTCCATCCCAAACTCGGTAACCATCCCTGGCCCCATCTGAAGGCTTCCTCTTGGTAGGGTGTGTGTGTCTGTGTGAGGTGCATGGAGGGCTCCTCCGGGTCTCCCGTCTGCCTCCCCGGCCTCCTCTCTAGCCAGTCCTGCACCCTCCCTCCTGCTCTGAGAAGACAGCACTAGCCACGCCTGCTCCATCTCGTGAGCTCAGCCCTGTCTCAGTGTCGCAGCCGGGCCTAGGATGGAGGGTGGCCGAGGCAGGACCCGCTCTGACCTGACTCTCCCCCAGGTGGTCATCAATCCCAACTATGAGGTGGCGGAGTCTGACTACACCAACAACGTCATGAAGTGCAGGACCCGGTATGATGGCCACCGCATCTGGATGTACAACTGCCATATAGGTGAGGCCCTGGGGCCCTGCTGGGGAGCACCGCGCCCCTCCTCAGCCCACCTCCAGGAGACGGGCGGGAGCTGCCCCACTTTCTCCAGGAAACAGAGCGCCTTCCTAAGTTGGCTAAAGACCATGGGGAGTGGGGCCAGTCTTGAGTTTCCACACACGGGAAGGACATGGTGAACACACAGGCCTGGATGAAGATGGGGTTTTCACGGCCAGCTCTGGCTGAGGCGAGAGAATGGGACAGAAATGGGCTGGCCCAACACAGACCCCAAAGCTATTTAAGGGCTGGCAGAGCTGAGGCCACCACCTCATTATGTGTGAGACCACAAAAATGTGGGCGTTGGCAATCTGGGGGCTCTGTGTGTCTCGTTCCTGTCGAGCTCTAGAAGCTGGTGAACCACCGTGGCTTTTGGCCACCAATGGAGAAGCTTTCCCACTTTTGGCCACCAATGGAGAAGCTTTCCCCTGCATTATACAACCTGGGTTCCAAAAGGGGAGGCTGGGCTTTCTCCTCCACTGGCAAGGTGCCGGCCTCGCTCTCGATAGAAGCAAAAACTAACGGCGCTGGATTAAGTCACTCCTTGAGCCGACTCTGCCAGGAAGCTGACTTGAGCCTGGCCCTACAGATGGCCGGCACCTGTCACTGCCCTTCTGACATCACACGCAGGTGGTCTCCGCAGGCCGCCTGGTGAGGGTGGGGGGCTCCAGCCCTGCGGGGAGACCTGTGCATCCGGTTTACCCAACACTGTCTCTCTGATGCCTATTCCCCCAGGTGGTTCCTTCAGTGAAGAGACAGAAAAAAAGTTTGAGCACTTCAGTGGACTCATAAATAACCAGGTCTCCAGGCGGTAAAGTGGCGACGTGGTCACCTCCTGCCTTCGGGCCACGGGCATCTCCCCCAACAACTGCAGTCTGACTGGATATTGCCCTGCTCCCCCTCATCCAGCCCGGCCCCGCCCGTCTCGTCCCCCTGCAGCCCTCGGCCAAGCTCAGGAGGAAGGCGAGGAAGGCGTGTTCCTGACACCCGCAGCCTGGGACAGCCTCTGGGGCTGGGGCTCATCCACGGGGCGGCGGGGAGCAGCGCCAACCAAGAGCCATCCTGGCCGGGACCACGGGCGCACAGTGGTCGGCTGCTCGTCCCATCCGAGGCGTGGTCCACGCTGAGCCTCGCTGCCTGCCCAGCTCACCACAGATAACACGGGGCCGTTTTCTTCTCAAGTTACGTGTTGGCAGCGTGGGTTAGCAACCCAAGGAGGTCAGGCTGAATCCCACTTCTCCTCCTCTTAGCCTGTTTCCAGTCAACTTGAGTATCTAAGCTTCCCTTCCAGTTAAATGAACCGCCTCTACTCCCTTCATTCTGTTCTCACGTATAAGTGATGCTGCCACCCACCTTCTGAGCCAATGAGCTCAGAGACGGTGCTTCTCTTGCCCCCAGACACCTACACCCCTGTGTCCTCCTATTTTTCAAGATACTATAATTGTATTCTATTTTCACAGACTTTAAAACACAAAGTAATTTAGTGGCATTCCATATCGGGCATCTGGGCCTTTGAACGTAGAGGTCAAAAGAAAAACCAGCCCACCTGTGTAAGTGACTCCTCTGTCTGTCCTTCCGATTCTGTGGGTAATTGATTCAACGGTGCTAGAACCAGGGTTCTGGGTGAGGACGACGCTCACCGATCGCCATGTGTCATCACGGACACTTACACATACTTGAAACTCCAAATAAAAGATTTATGACCTGCAAGTGTGTTTCATTTGGGCCTCTGTGCACAGTCCGTAAGCCACAGGCTCCTTTCCCCGGTCACAGCCAGGGAGCTGCACACCCTTGCAGGTTCTCTCTTGTCGGGACGTGGGCTCCAGACACCTCCCGTCCGGCATTGGCTACAGGTTGGTGTTTAGTCGCTAAGTTTTATCTGACTCTTTCGCGACCCCATGGACTGTAGCCCACCAGGCTCCTCTGTCCATGGGATTCCCAGGCAAGAATACTGGAGTGGGTTGTGACTGCCTATTCCAGGGGATCTTCCCGACCCAGGGATCGAACCTGCACTGTGGGCAAGCTGTTTACCACTGAACCATCACAGGGGCCTCCTTCCGTTCCCACCACAGAGGAGGAGCAGCTGCCGGCGAGAGCAGCACTCTAAGGCGACCAGGAGAATCCACAGAAACTCAGCCTTTCTTTGGCTCTTGTCTATTAGGGAAATGTGTCAGGAGCACCATGGTTGTGTGAGGATCAGATGGGACATCCAACCTTCAGTCTCAGGAAATTTCCCCAAAGGGCAGTGCCTGGGCTGGTCTCTGGGGGAGGGATGATGAAGCAGATCAGGGCCCCATGCTCTTCCCCGAGGTGCAGTGAGGATGGACCCCGAGTCCCCGGGGCAGTGAGTGAACCCCAATCCAGCCAGGCCTGGGACTCCCTCTGCACCACAGTGGGCTGCGGCCCGGCAAACCGAGGGGTCTATGATGACCTCGGGGCCAGGATCGTCACCAGCTCCACTCAAACCAGAAAGACCAGGGTATTGGGACCCTGTTCCCACAAAGCTGCCCTCCTACCCATTCCTGCGAGGGGAGGGAACTCAGAGGGCATTTCAGATTTCACCTCGAGGCAAGTGCATGTTTATTTCTGCAGGGACCCCCTGTGCAACCCACACCACTGGTAACACTAGGGCCAGTACACGGCAGAGGCGGGGGGGTCTCAGCATGGCCAATAGCCCAGAGTTGCTCTCGGGGACACTGGGCACATGTCACACAACAGGTGCAACCCACCCCCACAAACTGGGCAGGGCCTGCTCAAAAATGCCTTGGAGGTCCAGCTGGTTTGAGGTCAGTCACCTAAAGCGACCTGCTTCTTCAGCAGCCCTAGGTCTTCAATGGGGGGCGAACAGCGCCCCCTAGTGTTTCACTGCCGACCATTACATTTTGAAGCAATCATGTTAAAATTCTTCCATTTTTATTTTTTGCTTAGCTTCAGAAACTAGACCAAACTAAAGCCCACCACGCCTCATAGCGATGCTCCAAGGATGGCTCAGGGCTGCTCCGGTGTGTGTAAAGGCTTGTGGTGTTGGGGCCCGAGCTGGGTTGGGGAGCTCAATCCAGGAGGGCTGGGCCTCTCAGGGCCTCAGAGCGGCAGGAGGCTCCACTGCAGGCCGCTCCTTCTTTCTGTGTTGGAGCCCCAGGGCCCGGGCCACCAGCCTCCGGGCCACAGCTGTATTTGTCTGTGGTCTCTCCTTCGCCAGATGCAGGAGCTCTGAAAGGAAAGCCCCATGGGGTGGGGACTTGAATTCAAGGCTGTGGCCTCTCCTCCCAGAAACACAGCAGCCTTGGAGGCTGTTAGAGCCCACCCCTGAGGCCCGGCTGCACCCGGCCTGATGCTGGTGAGAGGGGCCACCGAGGGCTCCTGGCCCCTCGTGGGGTCCTAACTCACCCTGCCACCTCTCTGCGCCCTCCCTGTTTCTCCTTCTGTCAGGGGTGGAGGGTGGCGTTGATCCTGTCCACCTCCCTGCCTTGCAGGGGCCCTTTGAGATGGCAAGCAGGCCAGGGAGGGACACCTGGCACTCTTGGATCAACAGACAGGATGTTTATCGTCCCTAAGAAGCCTGGGATAATTGATTATCAATTGTGAAACAGATCGCCAGTCCAGGTTTGATGCATGAGACAAGTGCTCAGGGCTGGTGCACTGGGAAGACCCAGAGGGATGGGATGGGGAGGGAGGTGGGAGGGGGGATCAGGATGGGGAACACATGTAAATCCATGGCTGATTCATGTCAATGTATGGCAAAAACCACTACAATACTGTAAAGTAATTAACCTCCAACTAATATAAATAAATGAAAAATAAATAAATACAGAGCAAAAAAAAAAAGAAGTCTGGGACAAAGACCATGTAATCCACAAGAGCGTGGATGGCCTCAGCAGGCCTCTCCAGGCCAGTTCTGCCAGCCAGCCTCTGCTCTGCAGGGGGAGCTGGCCCCTGAAGCCGCTCTTGCTCCCTGGAAGGAGGAGAGCAAAGGGGAGGAGCCGTCACTTACGTGGCACCTTCTGGTGCCTCTCGCCACTGCAGGGGCATGGCCACCAGGCTCTCGCTCACCCCAACGCTTATCTCACAGGGAGAGGGGCCGACTCACATACACCCAGTGACTTGCTCAAGGCCAGTTTAAGGGCGCGCCAGTGCCAGGGTCACAGCAAAGCCCACGCCCTGTACAGCTCACAGCGAAGCATGGCTTCCTTGGCCGGACACAAAGACCAGGCTTCCCCTCTGCGCCCAAACCAGACTCCCGAGAGGTGTGAACGGAGGGCAAGCCTGGGACAGGGCAGCTGGCAGACAGCTCTCCTGATGGGGCCCCTGGGGTGGGAGAGGACGACCTCCTGGGTCCCTGCAGCCCAGGGCCGAGACAGCAGAGCACTCTGGAGGGCAGTGAACCAGACGGCAGACCCACACTCGAGCAGCCCCTCCCAGCCCACCGGCTCCCTTACTTGGCCTCTGCAGGGCCTTCAGCTTGGACTGCCTGGCTCCCTGGGTCAGGGGCCGGATCTTCAGTATGGAGAAATCCCTGGTCAGGGCCTCGGCGGCTAAGGAAAGAAAGCAGGTCTGGAGCCATCCGCATTTCCTGCTGAGGCCTCCTCAGAACCCAGGAACACACATGTCACCCCAAAGCCCAGGCAGCCACTTCTGACACCCATCCAAACCTCAGGGACAGGACTGCCCCATCAGCTCACCGCCCGCCCCCCACCCCCACCCCCAGAGCTCACAGGCCTGCACGGGGATGCCATGCTCTCAGATGGAGGGCCCATGCCCCAGCTTCTACCCTCCTGCCCTGGGGGGCCGGGAGCCACATGGTGAGCCTGTGGTTCTGACATCAGGACCGGCAGGCCCAGGCCTTTCAAAGCCCAGGAGCTTAAAACAAACACCACCACCACCATCACCACCCTGCCCCCACTCAAGACCCTCCCAAGATGCATGCTCTCACTGCCTCAGGCTGTGCTGTGCCCTGGGGCACTCGGGCCACTTACAGACACGGTCACCTCACGGCTGGGAGGGACTTCAGACCCAAACCACCATACAGATGAGGCCAGGACATGAGGACTGAGCAGGCCTGCCCCTGCCGCCTGGCCAGCTTGGCAGAGCCCAGATGGCAGCCATGGCCATGCCGAGCCCACTGCTAATCCCTTCCATGGACCGGGAGGGCCTCTGCCAGCCCCCACCTTTCAGTGGCTCCCTCTCTGGGGCTGAAGCCCCCACCTGGCCCCAGTCCTCTTGCTGCCCAGACACTGCCCCCCATCCCTAAAAGCTCAGGCTCTCCTGAAGACTGGGCCCACACCAGCCATGGTCACTCCCTATCTGTGTTCAGAGCCCATGGCTGTGAGAAGCCCGGTCAAGGGGGGCCAGGGACTGACTTCTTATAAATACACACAAGCTGTGCAGCGGTGTGGCAGGGGCAGTGCAGGAAAACGCTGAGAGGGAGGCGCAGCGCCAGAATGACAGCCGGGAGACTAGCTGCCTCCCCAGCCTTGACGACGGACGAGAGGTTTCATACCCTTGATCGGACACTGACATCGGGGAACTCAGTCTCCCCATCTGTAAGATGGAGTCATCTCACCTATCTCCTGAGGCTCTAATCTAAATGGAATGAGAACACATCTGCTCAAACCATAAGGACCTGCCAGTACTTGAATGCTTTTTTTCTTCCCTGGCTGTGCCACATGGCATGTGGGATCTTAGTTCCCTGACCAGGGATTGAACCTGTGCATTAAAGCCTGGAGTCTTAACCGCTTGACTACCAGGGAAGTCCCACCAGTATTTGAATGTTTTTGATCTGTAAAAATGGCACCATCACATGCTTTCATTTAGGATGTGGAGGTCACCCAAATCTGAAACCTCTGAACTCAAGACGTAAGGATGAAGAGGTGTGAGCTTCCTGGCCCAGCACCCATTCTGCCCCCATGGACTTCCCGATTAGGTGGCTGGGAGCCAGTCCATCAGCTTAGAGCAGCCTGTACCTGTATGGGGCATCCTCACCCCAGGAAATGAGGCTCCCTCCCTTCCCAACAGCAGTCAGAGGAGGGGCCAGGCCACCGTGCACCACCTTACCTGAAGCCGGGCAGGGGAAGACGCCAAGCGCATGCGTGTCATCCACCCACTGGATCTTGAACCCCTTCTCTCTGTGCCGAGGACAAGACAGAATGCCGAGGAGAGTGGATGCAGAAAACCCCTCCTGCTGCAGGAAACCCTCCCCCCTCCAGTCCTCAAACACTCCAAGCCCAAGACAAGTTCATCTCCTCTAAGAAGGCGACGACCATCCAGGGCAGACTTGCCCTGAATACGACAACTTCAGACAGACAGGCCCCTGCCTCTGTGATCTGGTGGGCCCTCGACTCCTAGAACTGAGGAAGTCAGGACTCAAAGCTTGTAGAGCACAAGGCCAAGGGTGAAGACGGTCCCTCACAGACACGGTCACCCCAGGCCAAGGGCATAGGGTTCGAGGCTGGAGACAAAGGGCTTCATAGTGGGGACAGGACTTGATACGAGCATGTCAATGAAACTGCCCTGACTTTCCTCCTGCCACTTGGGAAAGCACTCCTGAGTCTGGAGCCTGTGGGAGGGGCTCCTCTGTGGATGAGGAAGCCTCTAGTGGCCCCATCTGGCCCAGACCTCAGGGCTGGACAGCAGACGAGCCCCTTGTACTGTCCACCAGGTCGGGCTCAGGGAGGGAAAGGGAGGCTGTTCCGGAAGCAGTCGGACAGGGATCCTGATGAAACGGATGTGTTTAAGGTCTAAGCAGGAAAAGAGAACGGGGACCAGAGCATGGAGAATAAAAAAAGAAAGGAGAAAAGACTGGATTTGGATCCAAGGAATCTGGGGAGATGGGAGAAGGCTTTTTTTCACCTTTTCTCCCCTCTCCACCAGACTCTGCCCCAGAGCTGCTCAAGCCCCGTTCATCCCCTAAAGAGCTCCTTTGTGGAGGTGGCGCTCCATCTGTTAACTCTCTAACTGGATGGATGGCCATGAAGCAGGGGGAGGCAGTAGCCCCACAGAGTCATGGCTGGCATGTGGGCGTGTGGAGGCCAGGCTGGAGGTCCGCTGCCTGTGCCAGCAGGACCAGGTCTTAGGCCTCCAAAAAGTGTCCACAACCGAAAAGTCAGCTCTCTTCCTCCTCTGCACAGTCACGGCCAGCAAGCTGAATTGCCCAGGAGCATGGCATCCAGAGCAACCACACCTACTTTCTGCCTTTCTTTCGAGGCACTGAAGGAGGGGCAGGCAAGCGTCCCCCACACAAAGCAGCATCCTAGCTCCTCTCCAGAAAGCAAGCACTCTCTCCACTCCCTCCCCGACCCAAAGCCTCTCCAGCACTCACTGGAACTCAGAGAAGGTAGACAGCAGGTCCTCAGTCTTGAGCACCGGCTCAAAGTCATATATCTCCACCACGTGTGCAAAATCCTTCTCTCCAGGCAGCTCGTCTACAAAGGATGATGTGTCCACGTGGATCTTCTCTACCTGAATCTCCTTCTCAGTCAGGTTGTTCGTTATCTGGGAGAGATCAGACCCTTTAGTGAGGGGAGCTCAGATACACCGGGCTCCAAGTGAATGCTCTCAAAACCCCACACTGAGAGTCCTATAGGCTTCTGCATTGACACAGAGGTGAGCAGCCCAGACAGGAATCCTGGAAAGATAGCAGTATGGCAGACTGGGCCACGAGACGGAGGAGTGTGAGTTTTAGGGAAGTCCCCGCTGGGTGACTGACACTAACACACACTGTGTTTCACAGGATCCCCAGAACTCTATTCTGTAGGCCCACTTTACAGATGGGCAAACTAAGCCAAAAAATTAAGTAATTCTGCCCCAAGTTGCTGTCAGTAAGAGGCGGAGCTAGGCAAGCCCAGGATCGTTCCTTTTCTCATTAACGATGTGATGATGAGCAAGGCTTTCTGGTGTCTGTCCTTCATCTGTAAAATAGCGATACAGGCTGCCTGCCCTCCCGACTGACATGCTCAGGTGCAGACACTCGGTTCCAAGGACAAGAGATTTGTAAGACAAAGCTTCAGGCTGAGAGTAATTTTCATGACTAGCGTCTGCAGTGCATTCTGAAGTACTGTGTTCCCTAGGGAAACGTGTATTAGCACCTGCTATTTTTTCAGAGGAAAAAACTGAAACTTAGAAAAGCAAAATAAGCTGGTTGAGGTGGGATCCAATCCACACCCCTGACCTCAGATCCTGAGCCTCCTTCCCTCTGAGTACTGGTCTCCTAAGGGACCGCTATCACTCAACACCCGCAGCACCCCAATACACCTTGACCCTCCGCCCCATCCACCCTCGACCACACCCACCTCACTTCCACCCTCCACCACACCCACCTCACTTCCACCCTCCCTTTTCCGGGCTTCAGAGCCTCATCACCTCCTGCAGCAGTTCACTGAAGTCGGCCTCGGAGCAGCTGCCGGGCCCCTCTTCTTCCGCCTCTTCCTCTTCCACTTCCTCCTCCGCCGCCAGGCTCCTCTCCAGCTCAGTCCCATTTCCCTCCTCCAAGTCCAGCTGCCGCCCGGCCTCCGGCTGTGCGACTGACTCCGGCCTGTCTCCGGTCCCTGCGTGGCTCTCAGGCCCCGAGGGTTCAGCAGCCAATGGGTCCGGCAGCGACTCTTTCTCACAGCCTTGACCAGGGCCTTTTTGGTCCTCTGTTGCCTGAGTCACCGACACGGGAAGTTCCTGATCGGCAGTGGGCTTCCCAGGACCAGTATCTCCTGGTTCTTCTGAGAGCCTGCCAGCTGGAGCATCTCCCTGGAGCTCTGCAGGAGGGGGCGGCGCTCCTTCTTCCTGCCGGCGCAGCACCCGGGGCACATACAAGGCCTGGTCCGGCTTGCGTCCACGATGCCACCGGCCGGCCCTCGCCCCTCGGAGACCAGCAGCCGCTCCCTGGCTTGCAGTGGGCCGAGGACCTCGGTACTTGCTAGGGTGGGAGGCAGGAGGGCGGCAGGAGCCAGAGAATCCGTCTGAACTGGGTAACCTGGAGCAGGAGCAGGCACTGATCAGATGGGTGCTTGAGCCCCAAGGAGAATGGTTTATTGGAGTTATCTGCCATTCAGGCCTGAGGCTCTTGAGTCAGTCTCAGGCAAAAACCAAAGCCACAGTGACCCTGGAAAACAACTTAATGAGGCCATCAGAGGGTAGGCTGGATGCCCTGAATAAGCATAAAGCAGTCAACTCTTCCTCCAGTGTTATAAACCGACTATGAGACAGCGGAGTCCACTTGCTATAGGGTGTGGTGAGCAACTAGCATTCAGAAACTATGCTATTAGAAAGTATGCGACTTTAAGTCTGTGAGTCTGTTTTGTAAGTAAGTTCATCTGTATCATTTCTTTTTAGATTCCACATATGAGGGATATCATATGATATTTCTCCTACTCTGACTTACTTCACTCTGTAGGACAGTCTGTGTGTGTGTGTTAGTAGCTCAGCTGTGACTGACTCTTTATGACCCCATGGACTGTGGCCCACCAGGCTCCTCTGTCCATGGGATTTTCCAGGCAAGAATACTGGAGCGGGTTGCTGTATCCTACTCAGGGGATCTTCCTGACTCAAGGCTGGAACCCAATTCTCTTGTATTGCAGACAGATCATTCCCACTCTTTGGGACCCCCTCCCATTATCAGCCATTCAAAACAATGAAACAATGCCATTTGCAGTAACAGGGATGATAATCTCTAGGTCCATCCATGTCCGCTGCAAATGGCATTGTTTCATTCTTTTGGCTGATAATTGGATGGGGTCCGACATGACTGAAGGGACTTAGCACACACACACACACACAGTGGGATGAGCGGAAGGGATGACAGTTAGGAAGTTGGAATGGACATGTACACACTGCTATATTTTAAATGGATAACCAACAAGGACCTACTGTATAGCATTCGACACTTTTCTCAATGTTATGTGTTAGCCTGGATGGAAGGGGAGTTTCGGGGAGAATGGATACATGTATGTGTGTGGTTGAGTCCCTTTGCTGTCCACCTGAAACTATCACAGCATTGTTAATTGGCTGCACCCAAATACAAAATAAAAAGTTTAAAACAGATCAAAAAAAAAAGAGAGAAAAGTATGTAACTTTAAAGGCTAGGATTATAGACATTATGATAAGATCTTTCGAGATGTACAGGGAGACAGGTGAGCGAACTGCTAGATGAGCTGTCACATTCCACGGCCTCTGGAGGCCCAAGCTCCCTGAGGGCAATGCTGAGTGGACACCCCCACTGTTTAAACAGCTCTCCGTCTTTTGGCCCAACGTGCATAAACTGAATTTGCTAAAGAACCTCCACCAACAATGCACCTCTGCTCCCCTGCTGAGCAGAAGGCAGCACTGCCTGTAAGCAATTGAGGCTGGGGAGAGAGGAGGTCGCCCAGCCCTGATTCCCTCCCAGAGGCTGACCAGCTCACCAGACCACCCCTGGGGAGAACCAACGAGGGGCCTCCCAGACGGCAGATACACACCTGATGTCCAGGTGACAGATGACCGTCCTCCTCCTCCAGCCCTCTCCAACAGAGAAGCTGCTCAAAAGGTCAAAATTCTCTGCTGTCCTGTGGATCAGGTACCGGAGCCGACTGGAGAGTGGGGGAAAGAGGAGGACCCTGGGGAGGGATGGGAAGGAGAGCAGAGCAGGAGCTCCAGGAGCAGCCCCCAGGCCTGACCCCCACGGAGTCCACTCCTGGTTTAATGGTGGCTTGAACCTAGGCTCGCTCTGCCCCCTGGGGTCCCAGGCTGACCACAGTGGACCTGCCCATAGAGGGTATGACGGGGACCTACTGGCACCATCCTCCTTCCAGGGGCGGGCTGTTCCATCTCAGGTGATGCTAGCTGTTACCCAGGAAAGATGCAGCGGGGAGAAGCCTGACCACAGATTATTAAACCTAAAGGCCAGGATCAGAGCCAGCTGCGAGCCCAGTTACTTTAGATGCACCACTGGACAAAAAGGAGCAAGGAGGCTAGGGGCGAACACTGCCCTTCCCAGCGGCAGAGCGGGCGCCACCCTCACTCCGGCTTACTTTGACAGCTGCTTCTGTAGCAGGAAGCGGTCCAGCTCCTCCTGGATGCGCTGCACGAAGTCATTCTCGGCTGCGGAGAGGAAGACGCCGTCCAAGCAGAGAAGGGCCAGGGTGACAGGTGGGAGAGCCTACGGGGCAACCGACACCGCCGCGATCAAAGCGCAGAACCCGGGCCCTCCCACGACCGAGGACACTGTCTCTCCTCTGATCGGAGACCGTGGGGGCTCCGAGGAGGTAAGGGTCGTGCCCAGGGTCCCCGTCAGGGCCTTGGTGGGGCAGGGAGGGGTCGCTCTCGTCGTCCCCAGGTCCGCGCCCTGCTGCCTCGGGCCAGATGCGCGGGCGCGATTGATCCTTCCCGGCCCGGAAGCAAAAGGCCCGGGAGGAGCACGAGTCTGACCGTGAGCGATCGGGGAGACCTGCTCCCAGGTCCGTCCGCCGCACTCACCGCGGCAGCCCCGCGCGTCGCCGCCGCAGCTCTAGGGTCCCCAGAAGCCTGCGCGCCCCTGAACCCCAGAACCACCCGGGCCTCGCGGAGCTGCAGCGCCACCGCGCGGCCTGGCGGAGGCATCACCTCAATGGCAGAGGCGTGTTCTTTCTTGACTCTTTTTGCCCCTGAGACCACAGGTCACCTGAGCTGAGATGTTCCCCACCCAGGGATCGAACCCGTGTGTCCTGAGTTTCCTGCATTGGCAGGCGGATTCTTTAGCACTGGGTCACCTGGGAAACCCTACACTGTTTTCTAGGATCAATGAAATTCGGGAAATCGTTTGGAGTGGTTCCTACATGCTAGGTCATGGGGGTTACCAGGTTTTCCAGTTCATTGATCCCCTCCCTAGGGATGTAAAAGAGGGATAAATAGGAAGTTTCTGGACACCAAGAATTTCATCGCCCTTTGGCCCTTATCGATGGAAGCTGCAAAGAGGTCCAATTCACAGCACAGCGTCACTGACAAGGTGTACTAGCCTGTGGATAACAGGGCGGGGTAGCCACTAGAATGGTGATTTGCAGAACTTGCTACATCTAAAAGTAACTCCAGCACTCGCCTTAAATAGGGCTTGAAATTCTTGTCATCAGACAGCCATGAGATGGGCTTATTATAATCAAGGAGACCAGGGCTGAAATTCTCATCTTCCCTGGAAGGTGCTGAAGTGTAAGCCTTTGATCATCCTGAAACAAGCAGGACCCTGAGTTATTGAAAACCCAGGTTTTAGTACAGGGATGGGACAGTCTGATACAAGTAGGATACAAGAAAGGTCACAGGGAGACTGACCCTTAAAAGGCCTGCTGGGAAAAGTTGGGACCAGGACAATGAAGAAAAACAAAGATGCATTTTGCTCTCATGCAGTTTTTCCCAGAGTATTTCTTTAAAAAGATGGTGGGATTATATCTTTTTATATATTACATTTACAAAAACTATTGGGATATATTATATTTACAAAAACTATCTTTCCAGATAGTTTTTCAAGAATAAAAAGGATCGGGACTTCCCCGGTTGTCCAGTGGTTAAGAATCTGCCTGCCAATGCAGGGGATATGGTTTTGATCTTAGGTCCAGGAAGATTCACATGCCTTGGGGCGACTAAGCCAGGGGGCCACAACTCTCAAACCTGTGCCCTAGAACCTCTGCTCCGCAATAAAACAGCCACTGCAACGAAAAGCCGTCAGACCGCAACAACAGTAGCCCCACTTGACACAACTGGAGAAAAACCAGTGCAATGAAGACCCAGTGTAACTAAAAATAAATAAAATTTTTTCAAAGAATAAAAAGGATATAAAATAAAGACACCACCAAGTGCAAAGAGAACTCAAGGAGGTGAGTCATGAGTATCCTTAGGGGCCTGGTTGTTAAGAGGAGATTCTGAAGGCCTGACAGATCCTCCGCCCCAGTCTCAGGCCTGGAGGGGCATCCAGTCCCTGGGGTGCGGCGGGCAAAAATGCAGCAGGAAGAACAGGGACACCCATTTGAAGTCTGACTCCACCAGCCCCACCCACACTCCACACTGGCTTAACTGAAGCGGAATCAGGCCGGCCTGAGAGAACACTGAGGGGCCAACAACGGTTCCATTTATCCGACCAGACGTCCATGATGGAAAGTGTGAGGCTGGGAGGCACGCCCACTTTGCACACATGACCCAGAAGGAATATGCATGCTAACTTAGAAAAGAAAGGCTCAGTGTTTCCTGGTGGCTCAGTCGTAAAGAACCCGCCTGCTAATGCCAGAGGCATGGGTTCTATCCCTGATCCTGGAAGATCCCACATACCATGGAGCAGCCATGCCATGCACCACAACTGCCAGCCTGTGCTCCTGAGTGAGAAGCCCATGACTCACCTCCTCGAGTTCTCTTTGCACTTGATGCCATAACTAGAGAGTAGCACCGCTCTCCACAACTACAGAAAAACCCACACAGCAACAAAGACCCAGCACAGCCAAAAATAAAAAGAAAGAAAGAAAGAAAGAAAGGACTAACCTTCTCAATAAAGTGGGCATCTCTCCCCCACCATGAAGGAATCAACCAAAACCCCATGATACAGGCTACACCCCTACCTCTTTAGAGCTGGTCCGTGACAGAGGATTTCAACACGTTCAGAGAGACTCAAACAAGGCTCTCAGAGGAGGCTGCCCATGAATACAGTTTCCACTACACACTCTTCAGATAAGTTGGAGGCTGAAAAGAAAAAAAAGAGTTAGCACAAAGGCCTCCACTTGTGGGTGGAGGTTACCAAGAGATGCCAAAATAAATGGGGAAGGGAATCAAAGTGCATCTACCTACAGGATTGGGGTACAAAATACCAGGTGAGTGCTGAATGGTTCCCAGTCAGAGACAAACAGAACAAAAAGCAGCAGGGTATGCAAATTTTCTACAGCAAAAACAAACAGTTTAAAAAGCATCATAAGAAAAAGTGGATTAAGGGTATTTTGGAAAGTTCTCTTGAAAAAAAAAGAGAGAAGACATTTCAGTTAACTACTGCACGTTCTCAAGGAAATCAAAGAAAGTCTGATTTTCATGTCACAATGGAAAAACCGGCAAAGTGGCAGGAGTGTGAACAGTCAGAGGCCCGGAAAGATAGAAAAGAGGCGATCACGTTCATCACAGAAGCAGCAAGCAGTGGAGTCGACAGAGCTGAAAACAACCTGACTCGGAATAAAGTCATGAAAATGAAGACAACCACTGTTTACACAAAGTCTGCCACATACATGGCATAAGCTGAATCTTGACAGTGGCCCATTCAGTTGGAGATTGTTCAGAGGAATAACCTGGTGGCTTAGATGGTAAAGAATCCGCCTGCAATGCAGGAGACCTGGGTTCGATCCCTGGATTGGGACGATCCCCTGGAGAAGGGAATGGCAACCCATTGCAGTATTCTTGCCTGGAAAATTCCATGGACAGAGGAGCCTGGTGGGCTCCAGTACATGGAGTCACAGAGCCAGACATGACTGAGCAACTGACATTTTCACTTTCAACCTGAGGTTTAGCCAAGGAACCAGCTACCACAGGCAGAGTTGGAACTTGCTCTAATCCAGATCTAGCCTGTCACATCCATGTTCCTGAACATCACCTGGTTCAGATTTTCCAACTTTAGAATGTCATTAGAATTGATGCTGTGGTCAATAATCAGACACAGAAGTCAGGCATTAAATAAACTAGATGAATCCAATCAGAGAAGCATGTTAGGTGTGTACTGTAGAGCTTTACCTGAAACAAGAGGTATGATTGGATGATGATGAAAGGATTGCATGCAGGGGATATGGAGTTGCAAGCAGTCCCACCTGAAGGGATGAATCTAGAGTTCCCTACAACCATAGTGACCCTAAATTATATCCAGCACCCCTTCCCTTGCCACTGGGGTCACCTGCAGCACTGGAATCTACGTCCCAATTTCCCATCTCCTTACTCTAAGCAAACTGAGACAGTATTAACCTCCGTTAGAATGAACTAACAAACGGTTCTCTCCCTGTTTAAGAAGAAGTTTAAGAATATCCAGTTTATGCTTGCTATTGAAAGTCTTTGTATTGTTTACATAGCTTTAACATGTGTATTAGAGAATCTAATACATTAGGTAGTGAAACTTAAAATTTTCAGTGGGCAGATATAGGAGCATTTGACTAAGTTAGTAAACAGTATTATAATATTAACGAGAATGGAGTCACAATATTTGAGGATCAACAAGAGTTGTTTAGAGACAGCACATAAAAATGTTTGGCTTTATACATAGCCTGTTGGAGCATCCATTTGATGTATGTAAGAAGAAAATCAGGACTTTGAGGAAGATGGAGTAAACACACTTTGCCAATTCCTTCCACTAAATACAATTAAAATCCCTAGACATTATATATAAAACAAACATAAAAGGGGGAAAAAAGAAAGAAGACCAGCTACAGACCTCTGGTTTCAAGGAACAACAAAGAGCTACGTTTCCTGGGTTTTCTTTACGTCTCAAATTTTTAGACTTGTAGCTTGAAGAAGCCAGCAGCCTGGGCGTACCAATGGACACAGAACAAAACAGGCACACAAAAACAACAACAAAACTCACCCTACGGAAGAGGGTGTTTTCTCTCTAGCCAAATGTGCAGGCAAGTCAGACAGAGCATTCTGAGTTAAGTTCTCAACCTCAGCCAAACACCACCCCCACTCACACCAGCTAAGGCCATGTTGGAGCCTAGATTGTCACCCTCACCAGGTTGTAATGAAGTGTCACAACCTTCCCACGAAGATGATGTCAAAGAAAGTCAAGTAGGGAGCTGGGACTTTCATGATCTCCAGGCAGCAAGGAGCCCTGGGCCCTGCCTGCAGTGTCAATAGAGACCACCACAGAACATGACTCCCACCCCCACCCAGCAGTAAAAAGGCACCCTCCCCCCGGAGTACTGTCAGAGGACACCTAGTGAGCAGTAGGACTTTCCTTGCCACCCAGAGATCAAGAGGCAACCGCAGTCCCCATGGTGTCAGCAGAGGCCGTGTGGGAAACAGCCGCACATCTACCCATTCCAGCCGGGAAAGTATCCATGGAGGCCTCGTGGGAAGTCAAACGCCCACCTTCAGCCACTGGTGATGAGGAGCACACATCTTAGTATCAAAGGAGGCTAAATGGGAGACCTGGACTTTAACCCTCACCTGGCACTAACAATGCAATGCCCCTCATCCCCATTCTGGAGTGCTGGCAAAGAAAGGTAAAACAGAAGTTAAAAAGACCCATGGGACTTCCCTGGTGGTTCAGTGGTTAAGGGTGTCTGCCAACGCAAGGGACACGGGTTTAACCCCTGGTCGGGGAACATCCTACATGTGGCAGGGCAACTAAGCCTGTGTGCCATAACTACTGAGGTGCTCGCACCTAGAGCCCACACTCTGCAGCAGTAGAAGCCACTGCAACTAGAAACCCATACAATCGCAGTGAAGAGTAGTCGCCCCCACTCAATGCAACTAGATAAAGCCCGGGTGCAGCAACAAAGATCTAGCACAGCCAAAAACTAATTAGTTAAGATATTAAAAAAAAAGATTCAGAATCTCATAATACCCAAGATGCCCAGGGCTCAATTAAAAAATAACTTGTGGTAGCAAGAATTAAGAAG